TTTATGATGATTTTAATTGATTTTAATTGTATGACGTATAGCAAAATTTAATTTTAATTGATTTTTCGGTAGGCCTGGTTTTCTGGTACTATGCTTTTATAAGAGCTATCGGACCTTTAATAAATAAAACCATTATCAAAATGATAAGAGGGATTGGGAATATAAGAAATTTATGAAATATAATCAATATAGACATTTTAATCATTATAGGCAATATAATCAATATTTTACAGAAAGATGTATAATGTGTTCTAGTTGAAAAAAAGTATATAATGAAGGCTTCTCGCCCTTGATAGAAGACAATCCCTTAGCGATTCATAAAATCTATCCCCTAATAGCTCCATACCTTTGTTACGTGATAATAAATATACTTAACCCTGATCTACTGCTTAAGTGGCATAAGTAGTAGGATCATTGTTTTCTTGTGCACGTGATAATTGTAAATTGTACTGAAACTCTGTCCAGTTGATTCTTGATGAACTAAGATCCTCCATGGTTGATATTTTCCAACTGTCTCGATGTACTGTAGACTGTTATGGTTGTTGTCCAGCTTTCCCAACGTACTGTGGATATTTGTGGTTTTTGTGTTGTTCCGGTTTGAGGTTAAGTAGAAGATCTCAGCCATGGTTTTGATTGGAAGTATTGTAGAAGAACAGCATAAGCATTAGTGTGATATCAAGGTTCAAACATAAGTAGAAGTTATACCTACGCCCTAAAATCACCACTCGCCAAATCTAAACGCCTCTTTTCGACTAAGCCGATCGTAGATTACACAACGTCTCGGATTGTCAAGTGACCGACTCATCGTTTTACAGTTGTCAGTACACTAAGGGTCCGTCACTACGCTCCGGCCAATGAGGTAGTTTAACACGTGACTCATATATACTATAATTCTATTAGTGTTCTCTAAATGCATACCTCAAAGTTAGTCCCAATGATATACACTTAGAGAGGTCTGACTGTACCTAATTTTTGTAGATGAGAATAAGAAATGTTACAAGCTGAATTTTTAATACTGATTAGCGGAAAAACTTGTCAGAAGATAGCCTACTATATCTTGTTTATATTACTAGCTTCAATCATCAGGAGTTTCAACAAGGTTTCGTCAATCTTTAAGGATTTTGTCAATCGGCAAGGTTTCGTCATAACTAAATCATGACGAAACCATTCGTGATTGCAAAAATAAACTGTCAAATATCATTAAATTGCCATATTAGAGGATCGTCTAAAGCCAGGTAGTAATTTATAGCGTCACGTGATTTTTAATTTACAAATCTCTCAGAATCAATTTAGAAAACTACCTGGCTTTAGACGACCTCCATACAGTATTAGAGAATTATTAAGTATTTATAACGTAATGACACATTACAGATTGCATGAATTTGAAAATTTTAAAAATCAATAATTAATACTAAATAATTACGTATATGTAAAATGTTTGCCATTAACAAAATGTAAGAGATTTATTCTTAAAGAACGATTACTTTACATATTTTAGGGTTTTAGATTACCTTCAACTTTGTGTAATAATCGGGAGACAGCCGAAGGCAACCAATCAAGAGCTGTCTAAATTTAAAACGCATTACACGATTTATTTAAGTTATTGACAACTGTAAAACGGCAAGTCTGTCGTTTGACAATCCAGGACATCGTGTAACCTACGATCGGCTTAGTTGAAGAGAGATGTTTAGATTTGGCGAGTGGTGATTTTAGGGTCGTAGGTATAGCTTATACTTATGTTTAAACCTTGATGATGCACTAACACTTATGCTATTCTTCTAGAATACTTTCAATCAAAACCACGGCAGAGATCTTCCACTTGACCTCAAACCGAAACAACACAAAAACCACAGAATCCACAGTCCGTCGGGAAACTGGAAAACAACCACAATAATCCTCGGTACGTTGGGAGAGTTGGACAATAACCACAACTATCTACAGTCCGTCACGTGAAAAAGAAAAAACGATTGTACTACTTATGCCACTTAAACAGTAGATCAGAGTGTAAGTATTTTATTTGTCGGGTATATGGGTTGAATTATTAGAGAACGGGGCTTTATGAATCGCAAAGGGATTGAATTTCCTCAAGAGCGAGAAGCCTTTATTATATACTTTCTTTTAATTAGTGGTATATCACTTATATTGTTTATATTGCTTATACTGATTATAATATCTATACTGATTATACTCAATAAACCCACGATTGCATTTATTCCTTCTATCCCACCAATATCACTGATGCAGAGTATACAACGGATACAGTGTATACAGCTGGGAAACCCATTTTTAGTAATTGATCGACATATCCGTGAACCGTTTCTGCGGCACCTCAATTTACGTTTGGCCACGTGCTTCTGAGGTTACGATTCCGCGGTTCACATTATACGTCTGAATTTTTGAATTCCATTATATAATGATAATGACGGACTACAAGGCTTAAATTATGCAATGTTCAGTTAATATTATTCAGATTTACTTTAAAATATTACTCAAAACTATATATTTTTTTTTAAAAGTATTACACTGCTTACCATTTTTGTGAAAGAAAACCCAGCGAGCAAGGTGATTTGTCCCGCATGTTATGATCATTGTATTTTTATTATTAATCATTAAATTTACGATAAACATTAAATTATTACGTAAGAATTGACATTATAGGGCAAAATTTTACAAGAAAAAATTTATTAATACACAAAAACCGGTTTGTTTTGTAAACTTTTGAATATAACCAATTTCCTGATTGTGTTATATTACACTTAATCTTACGTAATTGAATCATTGGTCAATTATCACATATGCAGCTAAGTCCTCCTACGTACTGTAGGTACATCCTGATGTTGCTCTTTTTGTAAAGTATCATCTACAATTCAAGTTCATATTAAATACAACATAAAATGCTGTTTAAATATTTCTTTGAAGGTTAAAAAGTCAAATTATTTATGAGTTTTACTAAAGAAAAAGTAATTCTCATTAGATATTAATATGATTGATTGATTATGATATGACATATTGTCATGAATATTGACGTTATGTAGATGTATATGTTATTTCATAGTTAGTGCCTTTTAATATTAATGTATATGTTATTTCATAGTTAATGCCTTTTAATATTAGGATGGTTTGAATTTGAAAGTATATATCATAATATATTTCATCAATTATCTATTTCTCCGTTTTACACATTATAGAATTATAGTTAATTACACCAGCTAGCATGCTATTAAAAATACAGTATATAATAAGTATAGAATTATAAAGTCATACACGTGTTAAGGATCGGAAGAGAATTTTGATTAGGTAGTTGCCAAGATATCTTCGCTCAAAATTTAAAACCAGTATTAAGAAAGGAATAACAAAATCGGAAATTTTCCAGGTCACAAATTAAAAAATTTATGCTAATGAATTAAGTAAGTGTAACGATTCCTGTAAATAAATAAATAGTGGAATTCTTTGTTATCAATTACGTATATGAAATTAATAGGAGTTTATTTATGTACTACATTCTTAATTTATAATATTTTTTTGATGATAGTTGTACGTACGCTTATGTAACAAGATAACAAGATCAGGGATAACTTTTTTGGTATTGATTATTATATTAAATAGGAGAAATCCGATCGGATTGTCCGTAATGCTATATACGGGTTTAGTCAATTGTAAAAGAAATTATCTAGCTTATTAATTAAATAATTTTATTTATAATATAAAACATATATATATAATTTGACCAATTTAATTACTAAACATCTTGGATAGACTAGTCGAATTTGTTAAATTGGTCAATGTTGACCGTACCAACTGTATATAAAATTGGTAGCGTAAAAAAGTAAAGGATTTAGCAATCAATAAAAGCATAAATTTAAGAACATTAAAAATTTAAAATTTTGCTCCTTTCAAACAATGCAATAAGTCACGTACGTAAGTACTTATGTACTGTATGTATGCATGTTTATGCAATGCACTATCAAGAATTTAATCAAGTTTCATGAAAATGAATTAATAAAGCTAAACGTAATTATATAATACAACTCAAATAACTTTATTTGTGATTAACATTGCGTATAAGCTACCCACCTCTTGGCAACTTAACAGAACATAACTTTATTTGTGATTAACATTGCGTATAAGCTACTCCTTGGTAACTTAATAGAACCATTCCAAGTTCTTGGTAATATTTCTCTTAATTTTTGCTAGTGTGTTCGTAACCGTCTATTAGAAAAAGATGCACCCCCACGAGAATTTTGAATTTAGCATTGGGTAATTACCGAAGGTGTTACACAATTGATTATTATTATTTTGATTACAAAAACTGCATATAAACAATAGTAACATTTTCATAATAATAGATTTAATTCAAGAATCATCATTATTACTTTAGAAAGTTTGTTATACTCAAAGATAGTCACAAGAAATTTCGACGCAAATCAAATTATGAGTGCTATATTTGTGCTCAACGGTTAGATAACCTATTTTTATATAAAATTAGTGTTATAGTATCGACATTATTTAGACCATATATTAATTATATACCTGTTATCTGTTGATATTTGTAACACAACATAAACATAAATTTACGATTATTTACGATTAATTTATCAATTTATTAAAGGTTTCACAAAGATTCGTATTTTTTTTTGCTTGAAAATCTCCTGAAAGATTAAATATAAATTCGTTTTTTATGACATGAACTGTTTCGCGTTTTCGAATTTATTGTTAGCCCTTTTTAATTCAAAGTACTTATTGAATTGTCCGGAAAGAAAAATTCCGAACAATTTAATCAAGTTTTTTTTATTTTTTTATTCCAGAGTTAATATTAAATTATGAGCTCGGAAAAAAAACAAGTGCCATTCTTTTGATTATAAAAACTATTATTATTTAATTATAAATTTATTAAATTTCTTTAAATTTTCGTTTATTTTCATTATTTTCATTAGTCTAATAAAAAAAAAATAAAGCAATGAAATTTATTATTAGAATTAATACCTTATTTGTGGCAATATTTTGCCTATTAGTTCAATTATCTACATGTGATCTTATGGGTTGGCCAGCGCTTGATGTTCCGCCTCCAAATAGAACTGATTTTACTGCAAAAGTAGATTTGACAAAAGTTAGGAATGCTCCTCTTAACCTTGTGTCAAACATTGCTAACGGTACATGCCCAACTACGGATCCATATTGTTACAACCCTTGTTCTAAGTGTACTCGCCCGGATGACATTTTTTATTGTCCAACTGTAAATGGTATGTAGAATACTGTTTTTTATATAGAAATCTTGGACATATTTTAACATCAGTTTAATTCCTTTCCTTATAGATTGGGGTCTCACTTTTGACGATGGTCCAACGTAAATATTATATATATGTGGGTCATTCCTGAAGTAGTATACTGTATGCTGAAATTCCGCTTAACCAAATTAAACCCAAATTAAACCCAAGATTATATCTTCTTGCATGCTTTAAGTAGTAATTTCGGGCAAGTACTACTTCAGGAACCTGTAGTAACCCCCAAGCAAGTGTCAACTTCAGGCACAATATTTATTTTGCATATTGTATCTAATGAAAATTTAATTTATTTCATATTTTACTTTTAAATAGTAATGACACAATAGCCATTCTTGATCTTTTAAAATCTTATAATCTTAAAATTACATTCTTTGTTGTTGGTTCCCGTGTAGTCTCGAAAAGTGATATTTTATTGAGAGCTTTTCAAGAAGGTAAATTTAATTCACGTGTTTATCACATTTTAAATGTAAACATTTAATTATTATAATTAATTGAATTTTATTTTACGATAATTTTTACAAGGTCATCAAATCGGTGTGCACACCTGGTCACATCCTTATCTCACTACTCAGGCTACTGAACAAGTGATTTCTGAACTAGAATGGGGTGCTGAAATTATAAAAAATGTAACTGGTGTCAGACCATTATACATGCGTCCTCCATTCGGTGATTATGATGATCGCATACGTGACATATGTTCACAACTTGGGTATAAAGTTGTAATATGGGATAAGGATTCAGAAGATTGGCATTTCAATGATACAGGCTTTAAATTATCATGGATTGCTTCAAATTTTAGTGCTTGGATGAATGAGACCTCTACTACTGGTCATATTTCCCTTGAACATGACCTATTTAATGTGACTGCTCAACAGGCCCCATTAGTAGTTGATATTCTTACAAAAGCAAAACGTAATATTAAACCAGTTGCTGACTGTTTAGGTTTTCCTGGTATCTATTATAATGAAAGTAAGCCTATTACCTCCACCACTGCCACAGCCAGCCCCACCATGATCCATGTTGCTGCCACACCTGATTCTTCACACGGTTCTAGTACAGCAATGTCTTCTTCCACTCCTACTTCAGTAAAGTCTTCCGCTACAATGAATATCAATTACTCTAATTCATGGTTATTAATTTGTGTTAGCCTCTTTTTAATATTTGGTGTTAATAATTATTATTATATTTAATTATTTTACTTTAATTTAAACATTTATATCAATTTAAATTAATATTATCATAATATGCCCAAGTAAATTTTTAAATATCTCAAAGATTGCAATTTTAATCATTTGATACCATGCAATCTTAAATTTCGTTTTCGGTAAAATAGATTATACAGTTAAATTGTTTCATTGTATGAAGACAAATTTGTTAAATAAAATCTTGTTGGAGAAACTCACAAAGACAATTAGAGTTTCTATCTGCTCATTATCAATAGTTCAGTAAAAATTAGTAAATTAACAAATCGTGAGATGTCTTTTTATGTGTTCATGATTATATATTGTGAGACCCGAAAACCGTGATCGATCACGTGAAAAATGCATGAAATGCAAGAAGTGCAAATACTTACATTTATGATCGGATACATAGGGTAGATAGAAGATAATGGAGGGATATGTGCAAATTAAATATCCTTAAAAATATTAAGGAAATTAGACATGACCGATTTTATATAGCTTATTCGATATTAAGTATGAAATGGCATTTGTAAGTAGCGAAATTGAGTAATATAAATAAAGGCCAAGATGGCCCACGAAGAGATCATGCTTCGTTTTGCTTTATAAAAAATTAAGTTCACACCTTATACACTGTCCATAATATTACATTAATACTATACACAGTATAAACCCTATAAACTCCATAAAAATCGTTGTTCGTTTAAGTTCCTAAGCACGTGACTTAACGTACCTTACTTTGCCGACCCCAAGTAACCAAAGCCTTAATCAACCACCAGCCAAATCTAACGCACCTCTTTCGTAAGGTTACCTAACGTCGGTTACGCAAGATCTTGTATTGTGGAGCGACCGAGTCGCAGTTTTTCAGTCATCACAATATTGGCGGACTCTAATAAAAATTTTCTTAGCCTTGGGTATTTACTAATTCTTTCTTCTTTTCTATTGATTTTTGATTTTTTTTGGGAGAGGGGTTTTTTATTTTTAAAAAATAAAAAGTTATTAGTTTATGACAAATTTTGAATAAGATAAATTTTTTATGCGAAAGCTAGGGGATTTCATATTGCGAAAGTCGATGGCTTTTGCCAAAAAAAAATTGAGAACTGATGAAATCGAAAAATCGATGAAACCAACAAATTGAAGTTGTAAAAACTAGCAAATGGAGCTAAAGGTAAAATTTACCAAGCTAAATAAAAATAACATTTATTACCGGTAAGGGGACACTTGAAAAACAGTTAACTCAGTGATCGACGATCACACGTTTAACAGGTAGAGATGGGCAAATCGCAGTTTTTTCAAAAATCCCGCGCGTCACGCGCGGATCACGCGCGTGATTCGAATCCCGCG